CGGGTAAAGTAGGTGGGTCAACCCACGGATTAATCTGTAGTCAACCTACAAGTAGGGATGGAAAATTACAGTAATTTTAAGTAATTTTGCGTAAGATTCAGGTAATTGAAATTTCATGTAATTTTGAACATAAAAAGTAGATATGGGTATTATGGCGCAGTTAACTTTGATCATAATAAAACTTTAAATAAATTATATTAAAACTTATAAAATTTTTTTGAAATAAGATAATTTATTTAAAATTAAAAATATTTTCAATATAAAAAAAAAATTTTTACTAAGATTGAATTAAATCTTTTCAAAATTCATGATTTTAGACGATTTACCAAAAATGGCGCATACGTATAACGTACGTACGTACAGGCTAATTTTTTTTCCCCCTCTCTAATACGTTGTCTTTCTGCTTTAGCACGTTCTAATTCTTCCTTCTTTTGTGCCCTAGCAATTCGTTTTTGTGTGGCAGCCTCCTTTTTTTGTTTGATCTCATTGGCTTTTCTCTCAGCTTCCTCCTCCGCGTCTTTTAATAACCTCAGGGACGTTTCATTTGTAAGAAGTTGGGAAAACGGCATAGTTTTCCTTTTTTTTCTTTTTTGTAAACTTGCTTCAGGCTGGTTCGCAGCTTGATCTGAATTTTCAACCGATTGTAGAGTATGAGGAAGAGGGCACTTAAGTGCTAAACGTAAAGAGCAGGTGCCAGGGTTTTTAAAAGTTTCTAATTCATCTTTTGTCGCTTTCAACTCTGCGTCCAACTGCTCAACCCTAATATTAAGTGATTCAATCTCAGTTTTTAATGATCTTTTTTTATTAGAGGTAAGTATAGAATTTGGATCTAGGTTAGAAGAAGCTTGTAAAGGTGATAAAGTTGGTGTAGAATGTTGTAAAGACGAGGTTGGTATAGAAGGTTGTAAAGAAGGTTGCATTGCATTGATGAAGTATCGAACTGTTCTGTTGCAAGAGAAGGATTAAGACGGTCGGGACTAATTGCATTTGGGTTAAACGGCCAGATTCCAATTGCTTTGAAGGCATTGCAAATAGCTATAGGTGTGTAAGTTTTAATATAAGCTAAACCAAGGACCTTAGCAAATGTATGTTTGGTAACTAATTCGCCATTATTATTCAAGCGAAGCTGTTCACAACCTTTACCATAAGCTTGTTTGAGATGAGCGAAATGAAGTTCTGCAGGTTGAAGTATATGGGTTGTGTGGGGTGGAAGTGCATAGAGGAGAATGTTGTTGTTGAAGCAAAGGCTAACACAAGCATAACTAACATGACTTTTATGACCGTCAAGAATTAATAAAACAGGGCGAGTAGGTGGAATTGAACAAATGAAATGTTTGATATATTTTTGAAAAAGGCATTCTTTCATATAGCCGGTATCTGTGAATCCCATAACAGAACCCGCAGGTGCACCATTCAAGAGGCCAGAAATCATGCGCTTTCCTTTGTAGATGATTAATGGTGGTATATACGTCCCGGCTGCTGAGATTGTTGGACACACAGAAATGTGTTCTTGAGAATTTCCATGTGAAACCTGATGAACTTGACGGGCACCCTTCTTTGCGATTACTTTTTGAAGAGTCGGATTAATGATGAAGCCCATCTCGTCCTAATATAAAAAGATAATTAAAAAAAATGAAAAAAATAAAAAAAAGAAAAAAAAAAAAAAAAAAAAAAGAAGGAAAAAAAAAGTAGAAAAAAAGAGACCATATTCCAAATCCGATCTGGGGTAAGCGAATGATTTTCGATTATTGCTTGAAGCTTCTGGAAGTGATCCTTGACAATAATAGGGTTGGCTCTTTGTGCTCGTGCTTCGTTTAAAGCTTGTGGGATACGAAATGAAAGCTCTGGGTGGTTTCTCATGAATCGCTCCTACCATGATTGACCTGGTCCACTTTCTTTAAAGGGGTGGGATCTGTTACTTTGGTGAACAATATCCATCACACATTGATTCACCCTAACCTTGTCAATCCGAACCCAAGCCTCTGCATATTTAAACAATAACCGACAAGTTGTTGCTCTTCACGGTCGGTTAAAACTTTGGCTGGGCCTGGACGATCAAGGGGGCCACCATTTTTAATGGCACGTCTGAAAGTGGTCTCTGGGATGCCATATTTTTTTGCAAGACTTCTATGACTTGGTGACTTAGGATTGGTTTGAGAGTCATTAAGTTCTTTAAGGGCACTTGAAACTGCATTTTGTTTTACTAATCGGTTGCTATGTGATGACATTTTTTTTTTTAATAAGCTTACAGGTTTATAGAATATACGATGTCTATTTATAAGATTTAGACTATTGTTATCTTTATTAATTAAGAACGCGTAAAAAGGTATGGTTTAGCTACATTACTATTCATTAACGCGTAACATTTTTTTTTTTTTTTTAATTACTTTTTACTACCTTTTATTATGGGGCTTGTTGTATATTTGCATAAATATCCATGCACTTTATATCAAAATAACACGCATTGATATTATCTATACAAATATGATGTGGTACTTAACCCTAAGACGATATGAAATAAATTAAGGGAGGTTAGTCTACAAAATTATCATAGATATATTGTTCTGCTTGTCATTTATCAAGATCAATATCATGCATTTATTCGCTAATTTCAAGAAGAGTTGTTCGAAATTCAAATTTTGAACAACCACTACATTCGAAGCCAAATTTAAAGCCTTCATAAGGCCTTTGTCCTTCAGCTAACTCCCACATGATTATACCAAACCCATAAATATCTACTGCCAATGTAAATTTTTTAACCTTACAAATAGAATTGCTGGTGCAATTATAATCCTAATGGTGTGCCATTGGTGCATACGTGCAAATTTAAATCTATGTACGCTGCACCTACTGCGCGAACCCAATTTACATCACTGATTGTACGATGCTGCGCCAAATTGTGATTTTTAATATACGAATAAATGCTGCCAATATTAATTAGCAAAAAATTATCTATACCTCTTCAAACTTTAATATTTTATGAAATTTGACTCGAAACAATTTTACTTTATGTAAGCTTTTATTTATTTAATAAATAATCCCATATAAAATTACAATCGTTAGTGTTTGTTAAATGCCTCTGCTAAATAGAACTTAAAAAAAATTCAAGTAACGATATTTTGTGACCCAGTGGTCAGAATTGAATGATTTTGACATCATTCGATTCGTTCCGACGAGACGAATCGATTGGTGCCAAAATCATATGATTCTGATCACTGGATCGTGAGATATCATAGATGCCATGATATTTTTCTGAAATTTACATAAAATTGCATGTAATGTAAAATTGTAATTTATGTAACACATCCCTACCTACGTGACATTGCAATAATAAGGTTTAACAATTTCTTGCATTATTCATTAACTCAATTCCTAAAAATCTGCAGACATAATGAAGATTTTTGCTTGGTTACGATATAGAATTGGAGTTGAGATGGGAATCATTATTAACTTACAATATATTAAGCATATTTATACATTATTAGAGCAATTTCAACAATTTGAAAATATACATTGCAATTAAGATAATACTTGTGAAGCATAGTTTCAGGTACAACGCTTCGAAAAGTTCCTTCAGAATCATTCATTTCAGCAGATTTTTGGTAGTGATTAAATGTTTCTTAGTTTCTACTTTATTTTGTTAAAAGCACTAACATTTATTACCTACAGGTATTATTTCATTTACTATAGAGCCAAAATTCTGATCACGATCTCCGAAAGTGTTTGTTTCATCAGCGTTGTCCATTTTAGCAAGTATTTAATGTCACGGATGATGCTGAAATTTGGATCTATTTCATATACGTACATACGATTTTTAAAATTCTTTGGGGTCTTTCTTTTGGGTTTAGGGTTAGAGTTATTAATAATAAAAGAATATAGATAGATTTTGGTAGGACTTAAATTGTCAAATTAAGACCTTCAAATTTCGGCATCACCCACGACATTTAATAATAAGCGAATGTTATGTTCATCCTTTTTGACTCTAATAACAAACGTTAACTGGATGTATTCCATTAGAGTCTTCTATCTTAGGAATTTTACTAGTTTCCGAATGGGATTATTTGTGCTAATTTACACCTTTTAAAATGTAACATCTTGATTGGGTTAATTATAGGATTAGTGGGCAATATTAACTAAAATTTTATAGAGAATTTTTTTTTTGTTAGTACACACTTAGATTAACAAAAAAATGTGAATTAGAACCGACATTAGCATTCCAACCCTGTGAAAGACTCTTAGCACACTTTTATTTCGTTTTTTACTCTCTTTATTCGTATCTGAATGAAACTGCAGTTTCATGATTTATACGCGGGATGATTTCATGATTACTGGCTTGAAGAGTGATTTCTTAGTTGACGCTAATGGGATATGGATTAAATAGGTTGACTCACCTTTGTATACATGGAAACTTAATATCTTTTTACCAAAAAAAAAAAAAAGCAATTATTGGTTGTATTTAACAATCACATTACACTTGATCTTGCCTCTGATTACTGAATTAACAACTTGGAGATGTGTTATATAAAATGTGAATAAAAAATTCGCAGTCCCATGATGATCTGCGCTAAATTTTATTGATCAATAATTAAATCGCGAACCAATACATTTCTATTAAAAAAGTAAGGATACCAAGATGATGTTAGAAAGGGCATTACATATACCAAAATTTTGCGAAAAATCTTTATTAGGATCAGAAGGTAGTTTTGTAAACAAAGTTCAAGTTATGCTGATTTTTTTAAGTGAACTCGGCAGTCTGTTATATCTGAGCCAGTGTCTTATTGGTCTAAAATTACGGGGCTGCGAATTTTTCATGTATAACAAACTAGCTGTGTAATCGTACATTGCAGAAAATTTTAATACGTATCTCAATCTTCTTTATAGAAATAATGTACAAATTAGTACATAGCATACTGAAATAAATCTCTTAATTATCAATCTCAATAAAGTGAAGGATCAAGAGTTCTCAACCACTTTGCATAGAAATAATGCGCCAAAGAATAATATGTATTTAATGGCAACCATTCTATGCACACTGTTTAAAATAAGCCGTTAATGAATTAGCTTATCTCCAATATTAATCTTTACTCCATATAAAACGATTGAAGTTGTTAGATTTCCCGCACTATACGTTAATAAATCGTGATTGTTACAGCATTAGTAAGCGAAAGACATCGAAGCAAGTTTATTTGTGTGTCGCCAAATGAAGACAATTAAAATATTATATAATAATCTACATTAATTCCGAGTATAAATGCACAGTTTAGGTGGCATGGTCTGTATACCCGTGTCAATTGGCATGTGAAACTAAAAGTGGTGACTAACAATAATTGGTCTTGCTGCAGCTAACTATAAGTAATATTTAGTGTACTAATAACACTATTTTTCTAGTTCTCAGGTATACTGCAGCAGGGGTGAGATTTCAAATACTAAATCATGAACCAAGTTCATGATGTTACATAGTCACGATTCAAGTGAAATTACGAGTTAATCACAAATTTAATCAATGAGATTTTTAGTATATAAAGAATTTGGTTACTAATTATCTTTTTCTCTCGAGAGTCCTGGGACAAGAAAAACTAGGAACGATATTACTTTAATGACTTTATGACTAATAAGACAATAGACATTTATTTAGCGAGAACTTGATAGTAGTTAGAATACCAATAAATATCTAGGTAATTAAAATAGCCGCATATGTGTAAAATTTTGTTAAGACACCAAAGCAGTTCATTAGCAGGATTTGAAATATTGTTTTTTTTTTTTTTTAAAAAAAAAAAAAAAAAACTAAAATCATTTGTTTCTTCGCTCTTTGTGAAACGGACTAACATGTGTTATTCAGTGAAATGAAAACATGTCATCACGTACAACATGCATATGCGTCATGTCATTTTTAACACCGTCCCGTAAAACATTTCTGTAATTTCTGTACGTGCCACATGGTCCATGACATTTCATGCATGCCCGACGACAACTCGTGCCATATTCTTCTTATAAGGTTTCATACTTATTTTTTTAAACATGGTAAGACAAACCCAAATTTATTTTATACGCTTTAAAATACTTTTTATTCTCGTGATTTCTTAAAACCTTACTAATCAAATCTATTAAAAAAGAAAGTTGCAGAAAAAGCTTTCGAATACCTATATTCCTTTAAAATTAATCCAAAATAATCCCGATATTTAAAAAGTTTTCTTAAAGATGAGATCGAGGTAGTTTAATTCCTAATTTGAGAAAACTGATTCACAAAATTCAAATTTGAAAAGTTTGTGCTATGAGGATTATCCATGCTATTTTTTCATGATGTTTTTCAACCTTATTACAGCTTGCATTAATCAGGTTGGGTTGCGTAAAATTCTACGTTTATGTAATAATATGCTACTACACCTTTTTTGGAAAATCAGAATCTGGGTTAAATAACTTTATTTTATGAAGAAACAAACGTGACAGACGATTTAAATTGCTAACGCTAAACAACTTTGTTATTAACAATTACAATGGATGACATCTCTTCTTTGTCTACTAGCTATATCATCAAGCCCAAAATAATTTGGCGCCCGTTACTTCCAAATATTCAGTGTATTCAAGTACCACTCACCAATGTACCCTCAATACTAGACTTATATACATTTGATGTAGTATCGTCTGGAGGTGGCGCTCTTAATGAAGGTTATGAAATTTTGCCTCAGGATCGTACAAATAAGGGCCGGGTGAGATATGTTTGTTCATATTTGTGAGTGTGAATTATATATGAAATGTGCTCTTATTATTTTCAAAATGTTAAGTTACGTGAAGGAGATGTAAAAACCATTACACTCGTAAATGAATATGCAAACCAATTATCTAATTCGACGTTTGCATACACGGAATATCTTGGATGTTCTATGCGGGTATATAAAATAAAAATGTATTTATTTTCGATGTATTTAGTTTCATAGAAATTTGTGAAGTATTAATTATGTTTCTTGAAAGAATGGGTGTCGCAAAGGCAAATGCGACTGGAAAGGTCGTATTGTAGTCCCTCAGGATAAGCCACTAAACTTATGTAATATTGAATATCGTGGAAGTCATGATCCAGAACATGTTCGGAAAAAACCACTTCGAATGGCAAATTCAGTCAGAAAAACAATAACAAAGAGAGCTACAAATGTAACTCCTTCAATAATGGCAACAGGTTATAGAGCAAACTTTTACTTTAAAAATAAAAATAAAAATAAAATAAAATAAAAAAATAAATAAAAAATAAAATAAAAAAAATAAAAAAAATAAATCGAATTTAATTTGCTAATTAGCTTCTTTTTTTTTTTTCTTTTTTTTTTTTAGAACTAATGGATGGTGCAAAAATTTTAAGTACAACTATCGACACACCAAAAAATCAAGCACAACCAACATCTACTCGCTTTGTTCCTAATCTTGAGGCAATTCAGAATGCTCTCAAATATGATAAAAAACTAAATTATCCGAGTATATTAGAATATGAAAAAGTAAGAATCTGCTTTTGTAAGGAGTTATTTTCCGCCATTTAATTTTACTTGTCAACAGGTTTGCACTATAATGGATACTCACGAGTTCAAAGGCACTGTTATATCGAAACAATATGGTGTTAAAGATGCTCAAGATCCCAAAGAACAAGCCGTGCTTCTTGGCATAGCATCTACAATTATGCCAACACTATTAACAAAGTATCCAGATTTTTTAGCTTTAGACTCTACTGGTCGTCGTAACAGCTTGAACTTTCCAAACACAGCCTTTATGGTTAGATCAGATGAACCCCGTGGTCGAATTGTGGCAACATTTGTAAGTGACAGGGAAACGATGCTGGTTGTCGACCTGATGTTTGAATCGGTGGGTTTTAGTTGTTTTGTATTAGATTTTTCTTGATATATAGTTTCTAACATCAACTGGTATAGTTAATTCAATATAGTATTAAAAATGATGTTCAACTAAACCCTAAATGGTTAGCAATAGACAAATGGGACCCTTATCTGACAGCAACTAGAAAACATTTTCCTAATACGCAGGTAGTTTTGTGTGACTGGCACGAGGGTGAGTTTTTTTAAATTATTTTGTGCGATAGTGTTGCCTATCGCTATAGTATCCTGCATGATAATCAATTTTTAGAAAATATGAGTGCCACTAAGGGAAAACCTTGAATGGAAATAATACACTATTATATTCGGTTCAAGGTTTTCTCTTAGCGGCACTTATATATACCATATAGCATTGCATACAATATCCCCCCTAGAATAATACCCCACCAAATTAGTAAGGTTTTGTGTAATTATTTTTAACCAACAAATATGGAAGAATCATTCAAAATATTTCGCTTTGGATTTTATCCTTTTTCTTACATACTATTCCCCGAGTACAAATCAAGTTAGCTAGGCTTTTTGTAAAATACCTGGGGTACTATATGCAACGCTGTACGTAGCATTTGTGATATCAAATGTATATGATCTTTAATTTTTCACTATATAAAAAATCATGTCACACCAGGTACTATATAGTATTTTAGTTGTCTTATTCTTAAAACGTTGTTATTTTCTAGCTGATGCACTCAAGGAATGGTTTACAAAAAATCTAAATGACCAATGGATTAGAGATCGAACATTCTATCAATTTCGGTTTGTTAAGCGATCTAGAGACCAAGAAGAATTTGATCAATGGAAGATTACTATCTTGGATGCTAAAGAGTTTCAGTCTGCCATCGGAATTACAAATTTAGATATTGCAGAAACTGTCACATCATATTTTCGAATGCACTGGTTCGGAGACTGGGTTGGTAAGTAAAAAATAAAATAAAATAAAATAAATAAATAAATAAATAAATTTTATATTAACGTTTAATGTCATGACAGATACTTGGCCAGATTATAAACGTGATGGTTGTCCTATGAAAACAAATATGTTATTAGAAAGTTATTTTAAAAAAGATACGATAATACATTACCGGGGAAGATATACCAAGTCTTTACATTCAAATCTTGAGAAAATAGGTACATCAATGCGCGTAGATGCAGGGGAGGTTGAAAGGTAAATACACGCTGCTTTATTTGTTTGCCTATTTTATATTAATACATGCTGATTTATTTGTTTGCCTATTTTATATTGTTAAAAATAAATTTTTTTTTATTAAGGTTCTGGAATGGAGAAGGCAAACAGCCTACAAAATCAAAGTTACAACGAGAAAAAAACAAAATACATATAAAGGGGGAGTTATTATATAAAAAAAATCTTGTTCAAGGTAAATATAGATAGCGCTTTATTCGGCTATAACATGATTTTCCAAAAGTTATTTCCCCGAATCGACGTCAATTTGCCAAAAATATATACTCTATGTAATGTCAGGTAAATGACTTGCTGAGGAATATCTTTCGGGAATTGAGTAACAACCCTTTATTCAAACCTTTACATATTAAACCCATCCTAATTATGTTCCCAATTATTAACCCTTTAAATTTTAGAGATCGACCAAGATACTTGGATTGTGTCCCGTTTTAATATGGATGTTGATATCCAATATATTGCTGCTGAATCGGATGATAATGATTCTGATAAAGACTTATTTGATGAGCATAATATAAAACAGCAAGAAAAAACATTATACATTACATATAGAAGTGGAAAATTCGCTTGCCCCTGTAGTTTCAAAGTAATTCGCGGACATGATTGCCAGGATATTGTAGCTGTTCGTTTCTTTATTGGCGAGTTGAAACTACAAAAGTATGTTTATTATTTATTTATTTATTTGTTTGTTTTTTTTTATTAATATTTCTAACTCCTTTTTTACAGTACTTCAAATGATAAATCAAAGCTAAAAAGGTAAAAAATAAAACAACTTATTTGTTATTTTTTCAGTTATGGCGAATATACAATTACTGTGACGAAATTTTGTATAGTGTAAAATGGACAAGCCACCAAAAAATACAAATTTTGGGTGCATTTTTTTAGCTTCTTTTTAGCGTTAGGTCAGCTTTAGGGTAGAATTTATATTAAACAAGTATAAATAGGTTTTAGAGGGTTAAGTAGAAACTCTAAATTTTATTTTAATCTGATTTCATTATGATCCGTGGCAATCACTAGTAGTACATTCAATATTCGGATCCACAAGCCTATATTTGAAAGTTTATAGACATAATTCAATTGAAGAATAAGTTTAGATTAGTAAATTGCAAAATTAAGCTGATATTTTAGTTTTTTTTTATATATATATATAGACCTGTTGCGGAATCAGTTGCAAGTAGCTCTCTCGAGTCTTACTTTCGTCAAAAAGATGATAATGGCCGTAATAAAAATGAGTTTAGTTTACCCCAAAAAAGAGGTCCCAAAAATAAAAGAAAAAACAGATTAGTACCAGGAGAGCAAGTTTATCTTCGAGATACAATTTTGGATAAGCCTTACCATAAGGTGCAGATTGTTGAAATTATTGGTGAAGGTAAGGTTATTGTAGACATCACTTTCGAAAGTAATAATACGAATCGGCATATAGTTCAACAAGCTGATATAATTGGGTACGCTGATGAACAAGTAAAAAAAAAAATAATAAAGGTAATGACCCTCTGGGATTATGTAGATATTATGAATAAAGTTTAAATTGCTAGCCATTTACAAATTTAAACTTTGTTCATATATATATATATATATTTTTTTTTTTTTTAACAAGCAAACTATGTTTTTATAGCCTAACCTATTTAAAAAATCTAAGGATTCTCATGGAAACATCGTTGTTCATACAATGCCATATGGAGGAAAAAGAGGTGAGATACATTTAACTTCTACATGCCCAATAGATACAAGTCTCACAATTATTCAAAGTGCTTTTACTCAGCAAAATATTTATAGTCAAGCCGCAGCTTTTGCCGTAGCTAACCCCACTTCACGTACACATCTTCTTATCAAAGTTTTTGACCGAATGAAGCAGAAACAATAGGTAGAGGCCAAGTTTCTTTGGGTTGAAAATTTACCATCATATAATAAGTTAAAAACAGGATGTATAAACTTATTTGGAAGTCTTTCGGAACTATTCTTTGAACAATTCTTTCATGATTCCTTGGATCAGAATCTTCTCGTTGTTAAAAGCACAGTAACAACCGTGTGTGATTCAGATTACTGCCCTAAAAAAATCTTGTCACCCACAAACATTTATGATATTGTACTTATGTAAGTAGTGATAGTTTTTTATTTTTTTATTAATCATTTGAGTGCCGTTAAGGGAAAACTTGTCATCGGGCTTTCATTTATATTCGTACCTAATAAGTGAAATAGATTGTGTCCAGTCAAAATAAAATTGAAGGCTTGATGACAGTTTTTCTTTAGTGGCATTCATTTATAAATATAAATTTATTTATTTATTTATTTTTTTTTAGAAAACCGCAACTACCGGTATTACCAGGAGAAGGTAACTACTTCGAAATTTGTTTAAAACATTGGCAAGAGCCTTGTATCATCTTCTGCGGATCAGAGTTTGTATCTATAAATGGAAAAAAACCAAAAAACGTTCCTGTAAATGCCTTCAAGGTCGATAAATATACATCAGTAGAAAGTGGAAAAATCAAGTGAGTGATTTATTTACTTACTTTTTAATACATATATGTATATGTATTTTTTTTTTTTTTTTTTTTTTAGGCATTTGTACCTATGTGCTGGTAAAACTACTTCGACAAGACAAATCGATCAACGGCTACCCTTGGTTCTTGTAGTAAATGTTGCGGGAATTAATATTACAGATGAGGGATTTTATCTCGAAAGCAAAGACCTTCCAGAAGAAATCAGCTTTCCTGAAGACGTATATAAAAAACAAAGGTAAATCTTAATTCCGATTCCGCTTACTAATTTATGGTATGGGCTTCACTTTCTTTTTTTTTTTTTTTTTTTTTTTTTTTTTTTAATAGATACCGTCTTATGGGGGCTTCTTTTTGTAATGGTAGTCATCATGTTGCTGATGTTCGTTTTGAAAATATCAAAAATGCGGGCTGGTATCAGTATGATGGTTTGGGGAAAACTTATCATGCAAGAGCAATGTATATAGGAAGTCGCCCGCCTCACAAAAACAGCTATGCTATGGATTTCGCAATTTATATAAAGATTTGAAAAAGAATAAAAATCTTTACAAGGATTAATGCTTTATAAAGTAAATAAGAATTTTGCTTTTAATGAAAGAGTTTTTTAATTCTAATAAAGTGAATAGAGATTGATATCTCTAAATTCAACTTGCTAATTTTCTGAGATTACTTTAAATCTTTATAACTGGTTGCTAGCAAAAAATATATCCTTTTCTATCCGTTAACTAGTGAATTTTTTTTTTTTTTTTTAAAAAAAAAGACATTACTTTTATTAGTTCACTAGTATTTTACTTAATATGTTTACTTTAAAATTACATTAAGATATACGTATTAATTAAGCACTTCAAGTAGTGAATCAAGTCGATCTTAAAATTCGACTTGACTAAGTCGATTTGAGTCATTTATTAATTTTGGATTTTAGCCGAAGTCGATTTTATTTAGAGGATACTGTCATGTGATAATGATGCACCAATCATGTTTCATAGTATCTACGGATCATAATGAAACTGGATTAAAATGAAATGAGGGTTTCTATTTAACCCTCTAAAACCCACTTAAAAAATAGCGATAAGGCATATATCACCAAATCCGCTTAGAGTGAACACATTATTCAATGCAGATTGGGTTAGCATTTTATGACGCATTTTCAAGTTTTTGATTCGGCCAACCGGAGGACAATATCTAAAAATTAAAGACTATGTTACCTCGAGAAGTTAAGTCACTTGACCTTGAATACTGCAACTACCCCAGTATCGCCGTAACACAATCAAAACATACAAGTACCCTATTCACCACAACAAATTGGATCTTTGTATTTTAAAAGTTCATGAAAAGTACATTTATTTTGTAGGGACATAGACCTGTGTAATATGAATAAATTTGAGTAGAAAATTTAAGTGCCCAATATTGTAAAGCCGTTAATCAGGAAAATTCAAAACAAACGTCTCTTTAGTCAAAAATCGCTTTTTTCTCAAAAGTTTGCATAAGAAACTGCCTTTCGTATACTAACAAAAAGTTTTCCTTGAGCGATTTTACTATTAAAGCTCCTCTAACTCTAACCTTAGCATTGACTTTAACCCTAATCTAAACGAACTTTAAAGAACTTTTCGAAATCATATGGGGGTGAATTTTTTGATGGCGATACTGCTGTACTGGGGAAAATGAATACTGCCCTAAAAACACGTGACCAATACACTGGCAGTCGCGCAAATCCGTATTGGATACTAACTTTTCTATTAGAACTAATCCCGTGTATTATTATCTAGTGATTTCTCTATTTCTTCTATTATTCATATTAACAATAACTATAGAATTAGTGTTAGCCGCGAAGATCTCTATTCATCAAAATGTATAAATAGTCCCAATGTTCGATAGTTATTAGCTAGAGACTTGTAATCGTATCCTCATATACGAATAGCTCACATAACTCTAATAAATTATACATTTAGTCGTTTGCCTCTTTCGTAAATGCAAATAACATTAAATCCTCTTGAACGCTAATATTGATTTATTAGCACTATACACATATTGTACATAACGTACGTGAGACATTCAATTATTATTGTCTTTAGTTATCCCGTACTTATAAAGAGGTAGTTCGGGCGTAACAACAACCATAATTTTTGTTAATCTCAAAATTTCGCCTAACGTTAGAAACTGTCTTCGTATTAACAAACGATTTAATTATTGACCAATAAAATTTAGCGAAGATCATCACGAGACTGCGGATTTTTTATTCAATGGTTAGCATTCTATATAACACATCAAGTTTTTAATTCAGCAAGATCAAGTGTAATGTGATTATTAAAGACAACCAATAATTGCTTTTTCTTTTATTTATAAAAAGATATTAAGTTTCTATGTACACAAAGGTGAGTCGGCTCACAGTCCCATTAGCGTCAATCATGAAGCCACTCTTCAAGCCCAATCATTACACATATAAATTGTAAAACTGCACTCTCATTCAGATACGAATAGTAGTGTTTCGATCCGTAATCCGTTAATCCGAATGGATCTGATAATTCAGATTGAATACGGATATCCGTATCTGTTAATTTTTAACGGATAGATCCATAATATTTGTGGGTTAAAGATATGGATTGTCTGGGTTGCAAACGTACAAAAAAAAAACAAGTCTTTTGCAATGACTACCCTCTGCCATACAATATGCCTGGGGATATAAATCAAAAAAACCAACGTAGATTGTAAGAGACTACGGGTACTCTTCATGGCGAATGACAGGATTTCTTTCTTTAACCGAATTCATAACTTAATTCGACTGGTCCAAATTTGAATGATCAACCAGATTCATTCGAATTTAATCTGAATAACTTTTTAAGAAATGGGATTGAAACACTAACGAATAGAGTAAGAAAAGTGTGCTAAGAAACTTTCACAGGGTTGAAATGCTGATGTCGGTTCTGATTCACATCTTCTTAAGTGTGTACTAAAAAAAAAAAAAAAAAAAAGAAGCTCCTTGCATAATTTTAGTATAATGTTACCCACTAATCCTATAATTAACCCAACCAAGATGTCACACTTTAAAAGATGTAAATTAGCGCAAATAATTCTATTCAGAAATTTGAAGAAACCAGTAAATTTCCTAAAATAGAAGATTTAATAGAATGCATCCAGTTGGCGTTTGTTATTAGAGTCAAAAAGAATGAACATAACATTTGCTTATTATTAAATGTCATGGATAATGCTAAAATTTGGAGAGTCGCGCCAAAATCTACTTCACTCTTATTAATAACTCTAACTCTGAAAAAGGCCAAAGAATTAAAATAGATCCAAATTTCAGCATCATCCATGACATTAAATACTTGCTAAAATGGGCAACGCTGATAAAACAAACACTTTTGGAGATCGTGATCAGAATTTTGGCTCTATAGTAAATGAAATAATACCGGTAGGTAATAAATGTTAGCGCCCTTACCAAAATAAAGTAGGAACTAAGAAGTGATGTCTAAAATTCGAATGTGTGGATTCAATCAAGTTGCCTGATTTGTGAAATTAGGCAATTTGATTGGATCCGCACATTCAAATTTTAGACACTGCTAAGAAGCATTTAATCACTACCAAAAATCTGCTGAAATAGATGATTCTGAAGGAACTTTTTGAAACGCTGTACCTGAAACCATGCTTCACAAGTATTATCTTCATTGCAATGTGTATAGTTTCAAATTGTTGAAATTGCTCTAATAATGTATAAATGTGCTTATACCCTTAATAATGATATCCCAATTTCATCCATCTCAACTCCAATTCTATATCGTAACCTAGCAAAAATCTTCATTATATCTGCAGATTTTTAAGAATTGAGTTAATGAATAATGCGAAAAATTGTAAAACCTTACTGTTGCAATGTTCACGGGTTAACTTGTAGGTTGACTACACATTAATCCGTGAGTTGACCCACCTACTTTACCCGATGTCGTTAATGTGGATAACTCATAATTTTCCCAAACCGATTTTCTGGTCAAATTCCGTAATTACTGCCCCAGATTACCCTTAATGA